GCAGAAAGAGCGCGTTTTCGTTCTCAAAACGACAGACGTAAGGAGGATTTATATGTTATATGAAAGCGTTGCTTACCAGGCTACATAATACAGACAACGTTTTATAATAGACAAAAAGCATGCATAACACGCCACTTGAGTCACTCTAGGAGCATGAGGCGAGCATAACACGCCACCTGAGTCACTCTAGCAGCATGAAGCATGCATAGCACACCACCTGAGTCACTCTAGACTAGGAGCATGAAGCGAGCATAGCACACCGCCTGAGTCACTCTAGGAGCATGAAGCATGCATAGCACAATACCTGAGTCACTCTAGGAGCAATAAACATGCATAGCACACCGCCTGAGTCACTCTAGGAGCATGAAGCATGTACAACACTAACTATTCGTGCAAGTTTTAAACTTATTTTTTGTCCTGACAGTAAAAGTGACTTTCACTGTGGCAGTGAAACTTATTCGATAACTTCAATGTCGCTTTCTTCATCTTATGCACATTTTAGCCACATCTTAATCTTAAATGAAATATTTATTAGTCGCCGGTTCGTTTTCTAAAAGACAAGGAGTCCGTGGTGCGTTCATGTTTTCCCTATGTTAAACTACTGTCTCTTTATCACAAAGGACAACATCACTGCAGCTCTTGATAGCTTACTGCTGCGAATGCTACGAATATTCATCACTATTTAAATTTATTTGTCGTTAATACACATATTACATAACCATTCTGATATTTATTTGGCAATTAATATTTATCAAATTGTTGTCTATTTGACAATTAATATTCATCAAATTTATAATTTATTTTATAATTAATATGTATCAAATTTATCATTTATATGAAAATTAGTAATATTTATTAACTGTCAATTAATTAATATTTATTTATAAATATTATTAAGTATTATGAAATTTATTAATTAAACCTCAAAATTTCAATGGAACTCTTCAATTCTCTTTCATTGAATAATTTTTTTTCAATTGTCACATGCGGCGGCATTATACATATATAGGATAAAAAATATTCATGTTGATTTGGGTCAGAACATTTTCCAACATGGGAATTTACCAACTGAATAAAAATCTCTTTCAATTCTTTTCTCGGTGAAGTGAAGCCGTCAAACTTCTTTGATTGAGCTATTGTTTTTCCCATTAAAACTTCTTCCATTGCCGCTTTTCGCCGTGTCATATGCAATGTCATTGCGCTTAACGCAACAAAAACTAGATGGTCGAAAGAACCTTGGACGAAACAGTCTCTGAGAGTGCAGGCTTAAATCGCTTTTCATATTTCAAGTACGAAATTGCATTGCAAAAGCAAGACGACCTTGTTCTTAATATTCAATATTTTATTATCAATTCTAAAAAATGTCAACTTTGTGATTAGTTTTCATAACGTCAACTTAGAGAGTTTGTTGGCCACAACTCAGCATTATTTATTCCATCAAGTTTACATAATTTATTTCCTCATTTTCACATTTGTATGTGAAAAATTATTTAAGAATTTACAGTTATATCATTTGTTATAGGTCAACGGTTTTTTCTAACTAGTACGAAACTTGTGCTAGAATATTTTGGTCTATAAATAAACTTCCCTCAAAATATTCGAGAGTAATTAATAATTTAAATTAAATCAAAATATATGTAACAGATACTCAAAGCAGGTTATTTGGTTGGAAGGGATCTGAGATTTAGCCATTCACTATAAGCGATGCCATAAATCTGGAATCCAATCCACACGTAATCTATTAATTGTTGATGTGAAAAATGCACCAGCGATCCCCTTGAAGATTTTACATTTATATATGAACGGATAAATTAATGCATAAATGCAAGTGCTTGGATGATTAAATACACCGGACATTGCAAGCATTCTAAAGTAGTTCTATTAAAGTAGTTCTATACTAAAAATTTTGCAGCTAATTTGAATATTGTTTCATCAGGCTGCGAAAACTGAAGTTTGTTATGCTATATTGTACTAAAAATTTTTACTAAAATAAGTCATCGTATCACATCGTCTTCCTTTTTCTCTCCGAACAGATTTATTTTTTTTAAATTCCGAGTTCAAATTTCGAGAATGAGATGAAGTTCTGAGAAGCAATTTGAGCAAATAATTGTATTATTCTCCATTAATCTTGCTCGTATACATGCTGAGTATAAATGCTCAGTATACAAGGATATAATTATCTAAAACAGTAATATGGAACGGCAGTTCAAACATTTTAACAATTAGAAACAAGTATTATAATTATGCAACCTTCTATTCAATATATGTTTCTCAAAATTTTACACCGCATATCTTATTTGTCTATGCTAATTGTAAAACATCTAAATTTATTCCATAATGCCGGCGTACCTACGGCCGCTTACGACAATTGACCCAAGTCACGCACCCTCGTGGCGAGCGTAAAATCAACCTACGCAATGTGACGCAATCACGTCCGTTACATTCTAACTATTGAGACCGACCATCAACGCTCGTGATTTAACGCATCGCTTCCGTAGTACCATGAACTCTATCGACTTCTTCGTTATATTACTGTATAAATCATGTATTTATTTTGGTGTTTGTTTACTCGTAACTATCAATGAACTTGACGAGTGAAATTAAAATTTTACTTTTTGAATTCAAATTAAAATTATGCCGTTTTCGTCCCGGTGACAGGTTTATATCTTATAAAACAAATGCCTAAGTGTATAAATTACTTGCATTTGCATTGATGACTATCATTTTTAAAGCGGTTGATTTCTTAAAGTCAATATTGTTGATAGTTTCACAAATTAGAATGTTTTATTAAATCTAATGTTTTTTAGGTAAATATCTCATATAAAATACTTTTTTATTCCCAGAGAATAATGAAATGTAATGACACTCTCGTGTTTTGCCATAAGTGTATTCAAGGTAACATCTGCTTGCACACAGAAGGTGTTAATTAGTTCAGTCATATTTTGTCTCATGTTCATACACATGAGTTTTAAAAATTCGTTTTTGTTTCCTCAGCATGGATTTTATTCATCATATTATCACGACGATGGCAAGCGATGATGTTTTCTCTCGTAATTTGTTAAGGTTTTGACACGACGTTGTGGAAGAGTCGCGAGTGTGTGCAGCGCTCAGGTCACTCAGCACAACAGGTTGTTCGTACTTTCACTCTCGACCTGCCTCGGCACCGAGCAAACTCTGCTGCACTAGACCTTATAAATACAGCAGCAACGCAACCAACTTATTACCATCTCATCCTTTACTGCATACCTGCAACCCAAATGTAGCCATCGCAACCCTCGCACCCCCTAACATTAGACCTGCAACATACATGTATCCCTTGCACCCCTCACGGCAGACCGTCAACCCACTTGTAGCCTTCGCATCTCATAGACCTGTAACATACATATATCCCCAGCACCCCTCACTGCAGACCCTCAACCCACTCGTAGCCCTCACCCAGTGTATTAATTAACTGGCATACGCCTTACCTTAACTGGGCTACCGTCTATACCAGCAACTTATTTTTGGCTCACTCATTACCAATGCAGTGTATTCTGCAGTTCAGTTGGTCCTGTTATCACGTTTCGCAGAGCATGCCAAAGGCGAGCTTGTAGCGCGCCAGGCCGCACTGCCATGCTAAATGCAACCACATGAAGTCTATCCGTTGCTTAACTGAAGCCAGTTTGTGGCTTAAATGCCTTAAACTGAAGCCAGTTTGTGGCTTAAATGCCTTAAACTGCAGCCAGTTTGTGGCTTAAATGCCTTAAACTGCAGCCAGTTTGTGGCTTAAATGTCTAAAACTGCAGCCAGTTTGTGGCTTAAATGTCTAAAACTGCAGCCAGTTTGTGGCTTAACGTTAGCTATCTGATACCTGTCATAGGCTCAACGTCAGCTATGTGCTACGAGCTTTTAGCTTAACGTTAGCTATCGGCTGGCAGTTTGTGGCTTAATAACATTAGCTATGTGTTACGAATTTTTGGCTTAACGTTAGCTATGTGCTGCTAGTTTGTGGCTTAATGATGTTAGCTATGTGCTGCCAGTTTTTGGCTTAACGTTAGCTATGTGCTGCCAGTTTTTGGCTTAACGTTAGCTATCTGCTGCCAGTTTTCAAACTGTTAGTTATCTGCAGATAGTCTTTAACTTGAAAGCAGCCACCGGCAGCCAGTTGGTGACTTGACATCTGCCACAAATAGCCAGTTGATGGCTATGATATATGGCACATTTGCTGCATTTTAGACCCCAACGCTACCCCAATTGATGTCCATGTAAGTTAATACTTAATTTTCAGACTGTAAAATGAGCTTGTCGAATCTTTTAATCAAGCTCACCCACGCAATTATTTTATGATAAACGTGTTGACTGATTGAAGATCAAAGAGCGCACTCGTTTTATGCCTCATTTTTACCTCGTTTAGCTCGCATAAAGAAAGTAACGACCCGGCGACAGGCCTATCCAGGCCTATTCTTCAATGCCGAAGCTACTATTCTAAAACGAGCGTATCGCCCATATACGGACAAGAAAACAAATGCAATCACCATCCACAATTATAACCTCAAACAAAATTGGAGATCAGAATGCCAATAACTCCTTGACTAGGATAAAAGGCAAGAATGTTATCCTGCATTATTTCCGTGGAATTGTTAACTGCAGGAATATTGTATCATAAGACGTTTCCTCTTGAGGTCAAATGTTTGCCCCAAGGCACCTTGCGCAAACGGAATCACTTTTTCTTCAGATCCTCGACATTGCACGCCTCTGCCTCTAACTTAATAAGGAGTATATCTTCATAGATACAAACAGCTTAAATCAAATGTTCAGTTGGTTTTTAGTTCAGAAAATATTTTCAGCGACGCCTAAATTCATTCTCTCATTCAAAGTTTCATTTACTGTGCACAATATTTTATGGTTTAATGCCGCAATTGTCTCACATAAAAACGTCGTAGTGAAAAATACACATCTCAAATTTTTCATTTATTTATTTCTCTCTTGTATTTCATCCAAAGATTTTCTTTAAATCAGAAATTTGGCTGGTGATGACGAAGTAAAGCGACCGTTTACACACTGAAGATCTTTAACTTCGGATGTTTAATGTTTCAAAATTCAAAATTGATTTGAAATGGTAACAGATTTTAATGTCAACACCTTGTTATATTGTCTCGCTTTCTTAGGCAAAGAATTCCTCGACTACATCTGCAGTTTCATTACTTCTGAGGTAATACTGAAAATGCGTATTTTTATTGCGAACAACATATATATTCTCCATAATTTTTATACATTGCATTTTTGATTACTAAGATAGAATAATGGACACTATCTTCTAAATTTTTTACTAAGGTACGAGATAGTCAATGCAATTTGTGCCATTTAGCTCTCTTTAAAAAAAATTATAAGATCATACATAAATTATTTATCTGGAACTGAATTACTTATTGGAAAAAGCGTTTTTTAGGAAATCAGATTGTAAATTTCTATAAATGTCTTCAGTAGTAATCAAAGTCCGAGACGAATATTAAATTGATCATATGTATAAAGATTGTCAATTCATTCTACATTTACTTACAAATGTAAATTTCAAATTCATTCAAGAATTAACGCAAAGTAAAATTCTTCACTTCACAAAAATTCTCCACACATTCAAGCATCGACCATCACAACTAAAAATTCGTGGAACAATTTTGTTGTTATGCATAGCGCCACATTGTTATGCTACATAGTCGGGTCATGTCTGTTATATGTGATGTAATTCACTTCAACTCATTAAACACTCATTTCAAGTTAAATATATGAACACTCATTTCAAGTGATGTGAACACTTATTCCAAGTGATATGAACACTTATTTCAAGTAATATGAACATTTATTTCTAGTGATATGAACGCTCATTTCAAGTGATATGAACACTCATTTCAAGTGATATGAACACTCATTTCAAGTCATCACTGTAAAATGTCTCTCTTACAGAACGATGAGACTACGGACGCTTTTCTTCGCTACTTGTATGGTGATGGCCGTGGATTCTATGCCGCAGTTCGAGCGTGAGTAATGATTGATATGACCATTTTATGACACCAACATTCACTCTTTAATTAAATAAAACATACGTCACAATGTCGGCTCACAATCCGAACGTATGGTGAATTTAAACGTTTTATTGCATTTCCGATGCACACGACTATAATTTTCAGAGTTAACATGTTTGCAGACAACAAATTAAAATTACTTCATTCACAAATGAGTTTACAATCAACATTTGCAGTAGCTGTAATATTTTTTAGTCGCTTCGGTTCTCAGTTGCAAGGAATATTCAGTTTGGGATGGAAATTTCATTCGTTTTCTGTGGCAAACATTTCTTCGTCACATCAGGATAACTGAAATATTCGGAAGCCACAATCCAAAAAATCGTCAGATTCTATCATCAGCCTGAATCGGCAAACTATCAGCCTGCAAACATACATTTTTTCTGTTTCAAGTTTATCAAAAGATGTAGGTTTTTTTCTATTCAATAAAAATCTCAAATTAAACAGCTTAATTCAATTATCTGAATAATGGCGATGAATCAAGATTATCACTAAAATAGTGTGTAGTGATTGCTATAATTTGAAAGAAATTATAGGATAACCAAATTTGCGAGTTGTTTTTTATTCCAGTTACGAAGCGAGAAATGCAAGCTTTTGAAGCTGTTCTGGGCAACAGCCGTCCTCTGAGCATCAGCAGCGCGGTCCCAGTATTCGCTTTTTCTGACAATACTCCATCAAAATTCGTAGAACTTCCAGAAGGGAAGCTGAATGGTCTGGCATTGGACCGGTCAGGTGAACCTCCGATTCCTGCTAGCAAAATTCATTTCGAAGAATCGTTTGCGCGTGGAGCGACTGATGGACCTGTGTTCGATTCCCGAAGCGGCCTGCCCAAACATCAAGGAGTTGTCGATATTGGAAATTTGGCCTCAAAACAACCTCGAAGTTTCAGTCAGTTAGGCGACGAAAGTTTTGTTCTATCATCAAGCCACAACTTGGATAGCTTCCAAGGTGGTAGTTCGCTAACATCACCGAAACTTGATTTTGGCTTCAAGCCATTACAGGAGACCACTTCCAAAATCCACCAAGGAAGCGAGTTCACTGCATCCCAGGTTGTTAAATCAACTTTCTCCCCGTCTCCTCAAATTGACCTGACTGGCGGAGGAACATTTAGACCTTCAAACTCAGTAAAACAATTTGGAGATCCAGGTGTTCTCACTGACGATAACTTAGCCTTCACAAACTTTGGGGTGTCCGGTTTTGGGACTTCAGTTGGGGACGTGGATCTTACGAGTGGTTTTGGTTCTACAGTGCTTTCAAACGTGCGCGGAGGCTCAAAAGAACCGTTTGATGTCAAAGCAGTTTCTGTAACCGGGAAACATCTTCGAGAAGACGATAATCTGTACAGACATCATGTAGGTGCAAGTTTGGTGCCAACACATGGAGGTGGTCCTGGAACGACTGTAGTAGGCAAAATTCACGCTAGCAAGGGACATAATGTGGTTAATACTGTTGGTATCGCCATTGGAGGGGTCCTTGATGGTGAAGGTGATTTGGTGACCCGTTCACTCGACAGCCAGGAAAATAATTTCTCGAAGAACACGGTTAATACCGGTAACATTCAAAAACAAGTTTCAAATACACTCTCGACCAGCCAGTCAGACTCCCACGCTGTAGTTGGGACTTCAATTTCTTTCGGAGACCCGAAAGCGCGCATAAGAGGAACTGTTGAAAGTGTTCCTATAAGTATTCGTGACATTGCAGGGCAAAAGCATGGATCATCTCTTTTGGGTGGAGTGAGTCAGGACAGATTCAGGGCTCATGAGTCACAACGACAAAGCCTTTCACTTGAACCCCAACAATTCACAAATGTATCGCCCGAGAATTCGAAAAACGTAAACTTTGATAATATATTCAAATCCTCGTCCGTTCAGTTTCCTAACATCCCTGATATTCAGCTGCCGCTTCAAGCCGCCGGAAGCTCAGCTGGAAAGAATTCTAATCCTGGAATTCCTGAAGGAAGAGCAGCGTCGCCATTCGGGCTTGAAACTGCCTCCAAGATCAACGACGAAAAACCAGCACTGCTTTCGGTCCACAACTTCCGTCCGCCTAGCCAAAACCAAGTCAAAACACCAGGAAGAGTTTCACCTTCATCAAATCATGAAAATCCACACTCACCAAGCCAAGAAGGTACCAAGCGAAGCGAACAAATCTTGAAACTTCTTCGCGAACGCGCTGCTGCACAAAACTCTGATAGTTCTTCCCAGCAGCTGTCAGAAAAGCCCTCTCGAAACAGCTTCTCTATTCCAGGTTCTGTTTCTTCTCAGAATAGACAAGTTGGACAGGACAATAAACAACAAAACTCACCGAGTGCTATTTCCCTACAGAACAAACAGATCGCTGACACTCTGGCCAAAATTAGGAATCAGCCTGGAGGACAACAATCTGTTATCCTAGCCAAATCTCCCGCTCAAGCAGCAGCAAGCCAGTTCTCCGTGTCGCAAATTCACGAACTTCTGAAGTCATCTCAGCTGTCGACCTTGGCAGGCAGTAAGCAGCAGTCGTCCGGATCAGTAAACCCAAATTCTTCTCGTACATCGGGTTCACAGTCTTCAAGTCAACTTTTGGCCATATCTGCAGGCAACAAGCCCCAGCAGCCTTCGCTATCTTCTAATCAACAGCTTTCTACTTCTTTAGGTCCAAGACCTCAACAGTCTGCCGTTTCTTTGGGTCAACAGCTCTCTTCGTCAGCTTTGAAACAATTTTCGGTTTCGAGTCAGTCGTCATCTTTAGCAACAGGTCAACAGTCCTCTATTTTATCAGGATTGAAGAACCCTCAGAAGACTGTTGGATCATCTGGAACAACTATTGTTCACGCTACTAGCGGCCAGACTAAATCAAGTCTCCCTCCTTCAGCTCTCAAGTCATTGGCAGGTCTTGGAAATCTTGGCGGGCTGGGAGCTTTAGCTGGTGCTTCAGCTGCAGGAGGTCAACCTCAAATAATTGTCAAAAGTATGTCCGAAACGTGACTCTCTGTAAATACACTTTTCAACCTATTCCTTGTCTTGGGAATGAAAAGCTCGGATGACTCAACTTCCTGTTGGTGTCTTTGTGCAATTTCACGCTTGTATATCAATAATCTCAATAGCATCCACAATCTTTGCGCCGGATTTTCTTTCATTGTAATGCACATTCCACAATTCAAAATTGTGGTTGCGAAAAAGCTCATGACCTCTCGACTTTGGAATGAAAACTTGCTTACCACTTCTTTTTATAATAAACTCTGCATTACTTCGACAATATTAGGCATGCTTTTGTGAATTTTTTCTTACATATTGGTGTACATTTCTCGGCTTGTGTGTAAATACGTTCTTGACATTGTCGTCCTTCCACTTTGGGAAGGTAAATTCCGTAATTTTATGCCCTCAACATGAGATTAGTTAAGGAAAAAAAATACGAAGTGTTGCTGAAATTAGATATTGCAAGAGCCTTACTTCTATTCTGTTTCTGCAAACATATTGCATGACTTTGCATTATTCCGGAATGCCCTGTCCACTTTTCCTGCCTGAGGACATTTTCCTGCCATATAAGACCGCTCCCTCTTTACAGTCGTTTAAAGATATCCCCCAGCCGATAAAAATATACCCATCTTACGAATAGGTTGGATTATTTTTAAGTGGATGAATGCATTATTTTGCATTTGCAATTTTGTCACCTTATTGAACTGAATGATATTCTGCTGAAGTTTCTACTATTTCTACTTCTACTTAAGCATATGACAGCTGATTCCGGAATTATTCATGTCACATGCCAAATGACTTATACTATGTACTTCCTGCTTTTGAATACTTGGTTCCATTCTACTTCTTTTAAACTCTCTGGTCGCCGTTAATCCCGACACTTGAGTAGTCAAATGGTCATGATCACCAAGATTTGAGCAATGCGTTTTGGATTCGAAACTCACAGCTTTTTTGTAACAACTCTGATCGAAGATACTGCGATGTGAAGATTCTGTATATATTCTGCGATGTCTAGAATCGGATACAGGCTAAACATCGCCTAAATTTCAACCCTTTCTCTTCTACACTATTATTTGCCATTAAAATATAGAGCGCTTGCGAAATTGACGATTAATCCATGTAAGTTTTTCCTCCTATTATTGACATAGCATAATTTTCACAACTATAGATTTTCGAACCCGAATTTTAATGCTCTAATCGTATTGTATCTGACCAACCTGCCATTCAAAACCCGTAGCCGAGATATACACGTAAAAATATTATTTGTTCTAAGTAAACACGTGTTTAATGGGAAGCAATTTATTGTAAATACAATTGTTTTTCATATTACTAGTTGTGGTTAAAAGGATATTGGGTCTCTTACTATCGGGATCGCTTCACTATCAGCTCCTGGAAAATTATCATATATAGTCGCTCAATAAAATTTGATAATTTGGCTTTAATACACATGGATGAATTTGCTTACTTCTGATTTCTTATAAAGTTAAAATCGAAGCTTCGCAGATTTTAACTTAAGAGGAAATTTTGGTCCCTCTCTATTATTTGATCATTCGTTCTTGTGTGATGTATAAATTTTCAAACGTTAATGATTTAATGATAATAAGTATCAGATCAATTGATTATTTCACTCAATCTTGAGTCATCTGAAATATTTATTTCTATTTTAAAATTAACTACTAAATTTAGCTACATATAAACAAAATTAGACCAAGTTGCGTATATCAAGCACAGTTTGGATATCATTTCGGTGCCCTAATAAGTATTGATTATTTTAATAGGGTAATTTAATTACTTTTTAGTAATAAATTGATAATTTAATTCAATATCTCATTTTGAGTCAGCTAAAATATTTGTATCTATTTGAAAATTAACTACTATGTGTAGCTACAGAAAAACAAAATTGGTATATTTTGGCAGAAGCTTTTCTTTTATGCAAGTTTGATTGAAGACGAGCGCATGCTTCTTATTGATAATCTTCTTATTCTTCTTTTCAATGACTCGAACTAAATTTCTTGCTGGCGCTGGAGATTTTATTAAAATGTATTTTGGTAACCTGCTGTTTGATCTCAGGGCGCCAGTTAGAAATTTATTTCGAGTCATTGAAAAGACGAATAAGAAGATTATCAATAAGAATCATGCTCTGGTCTTCAATCAAACTTGCATAAAAGATAAACAAAACTAGACCCAGTTGCTTATATCAAGCATAGTTTGGAAATCATTTCGGTGACTCTGTTGGAATATTTAGCCAACAATTGAATTTCCATCATATAATTGACGTCTATTAAAGTAATACAGGATAATAATTCAAATAAACTAATCTGTATTGTACTGAGCAGCGCTTCATATAACTGACGTCTATTAAAGTAATACAATATATTATATTATATTATATTACACTATATTATATTATATTATATTATACTATGAAGCATATGTGATTCCAAACAAATTTTATAATTGCAAATAAGTTAGAATGAGCTCGTAAATGAATTTATTGGGTTGTACATAAATGACGTCCTCATAAGCCATATATATGGTGTATATATAACTACTGACCACGCAAGTCATTTATTGAGTAAGAAAATTAATACCAACCTCGGAAATTATTTATTTAATGTTAACATAAATGACTACCGTGCAAAACTATGTATGTAGAGTAGAAAAAAATACTTACCCAGCAAGCTCATGTATTGTTTTTAAATAGATATACCAGCCTAGCTAACTTCGGAAAATACAGTCAAATTTGGTACTATTATTATGATGTTTGAAGATAAATTTATAACTGGCATTGAATTTCATAATACATATACAGCAATTAAGAGACCATTACTTCACGTTCGCGCTCACAGTTTTGCGCTCCACTAACATTTTTTAATTGGGCCTTGGAACCTTCCATTTATTCTTCCCTTATACAGGATACCAGCCCCTTCCTCTTATTACATTTTCTTTTCTATACTTTCTTCTGTGTCTTCAGACTTGTTTTTTCTTTTCATTTTGATTAGTGTTCATTTTCTTCATCTCATCCTTTTTTCTTTCATCATTTCCTCTATTCCATCCACTTACATATCCTAAAATGGAAGAAACTGAATTCAAGAAATACAAAATTTGACCTCTCCCCTCCCTTTACCCTACAATCGAAGAAAATGAATTCAATGAATGCAAAATTTAACCCCTCCTCTCGTTTTATACCCTCGTTCCCTCAGAGGAGCTGGGTCAATGAAAGCAAAATTTAACCCCTCCTCTCGTTTTATACCCTCGAACCCTCAGAGGAGCTGGGTCAAGGAATATATAATTCAACCCCTCCTCTCGTTTTATACCCTCGTACCCTCAGAGGAGCTAGGGGTGGGCGGGGCTGACCTAGCGAGCCTGTTCGGCAAGCGACGTCGCAGGAGGCAAATCTTCGGCGGCGAGGATCAGTCCAACGCTCAGTCCTTCGGCAACGCTCTCAGCACTGGCGCTGGAATATTCGGTAAACACTTCAATTATTTCTAATTGTTACTAAGTCCTAAACACATTAATGTATTTAATATTACTTTTACCACTATCACAATTAATCTGTTTTCTATTAGGTTGATTGTTTCATACAGGACACTGTACTAATATTTTATAGCGAGATTTCAATCAGTTATCAAAAAGTAGAGGTATGAAAATTCACTGAATAAAAGCGGGATAAGAGACAAGCAAAGAAAAATTATAAGCATTGTTTCTAGTATTTGTAATAAATTCACCTCTGTTATTCATCATATGTTAGCCGATAATCGTTCGAAGACGCATACCGCATAGAAATTGCGATACATTGCGTTCAAATGCTAATTCCAGTTCAATTAATTTGATCAATTTCTAGTCACTTCATTCTTGTGCATCCTTATTAGCAGCTTAAAATTGTGAGCAATGGTTAGTTAAAAGTCGTAAATATGTAAACATTAATTATTCATTAAATTCAACAATTCTATTTCAAAAAATTTCTTACCAAAAGTTTCTAACTGAATCTTTTCATTACTTTCCTGTTGTGGCAGTTAAATGACCGCTGCAGTATGATTTAATTCGCATCGTAATTTTTTTTATTTTCACATTCCGATCATATTTAATATTTTTCCCACAGTATTCACCAATTCACTGACTTGTTGACAGCGTGCAATAAACATATTTTTTTATTAAATTGGTGACAGATTTTTCTTTTGTTCCTATTCTAACAATAAGTATTCCTCATTTACTTCCCGAAAGAAAGACATTTACTGCATTCACTGCGGAAGTAATTCTACTATTTTCAGTTTTCTAATGCACCACAACTATTTTACCTGAAGAACAAAAATAAATGCATCCTGAAGACTACAAATATATGCATTTTTCGCCAATACGACAGAAAATTATTTGTTGTCTCCCTTCCCGACAGAACCCGACGATGACACCGACAATACTGCACGAGAAGAGTGACATTGAGACGACTTTTAATGACGGCTAACTCCTTCAAAAATTTGGCAACGATTTATTTTATATCAATCAGTAATAATCAGATAGTTTCTAACATCCGAATGATTATTCATCAATGAAGCCTAAATTTCAATTACTATAGTTTCATTTCGAGATCCCGAGATTTTGAATCATGCAATTACGATTATCAATCAAAGTTATATCCAATAACTACCATAGTCAATCATGGATCAACTTCATAGCCAATCAATAACGTATTAGTAATTAATTAGGCATCCCTGAGAGATTCAAGAACGTGTACCAAATAGCCGACTCAAAAACTTTGACCTTATGCCACGATTTCGACGCCACTCGATGGCTTGCTCTTGATTATTTCGATCGAAAAATAGCGTATGAAATTTGAGCCGAATTATCGCTAAACAAGCGTTGGCAAATATTAAATAAGAAACATATTCTTTTATGCCTTGTAGTAGTAGAAAGAGTAATTTCTTTGAGAAAACCGTCGTTTTTCAACTGGTTCCTACAAACTTAGACAAATCCAAGCCATATCCTCCTTTAGCAACGAAATCGAAAACCTCGATTTCAGAGTAAAAATCATTAAGCAAACCTAACCTTTTCAAATCTTTGACAACGATCAGATGGATATTGCATTTTGCCAAATAATATTTTCAAAAGAGAGTATTCTATTCATTTGTCCAGTTACTTTCAAATATTTTTAGCAGGTACAGAATGCTTGTGAAATCATTGTTAAATTACATAAAAACATGCCCACTGTAAAAACGGTCTAGACCTCAGCAGACAGGAAACTTTTGAACCTTACAGTCACTAAAACAAATGGACATGAAAACGGCAGTTGTACAATGACGATTTATTCAAAGAAATGGTCAATAGTTTCCAATGTATCGAACGCTTTGCTTGATATTTACTCGTTTCTCCCCTTGATTTTCAAAATCAATTTACTTTAGCGATAATTATTGAGTTTAATATTATCCAAACAGCATCATACGCCTGTTCCATTAATTGAGAATTTAAATGTTCAAAGAAATGCTATATCAAACTGACATGTTTGAGGCAAATTTGAGGAAAATTAAACTCCTTCTAAAATTATTTTAAAACAGAGTTCGAATCTTCGTTTAATACTAATTTTAATATAAGCGTAATCCTGTTATATATTTCTATCTTTTGTTGCTTCTATGTTTAAGCCGCATGACTATGTTCTCGAATGGAATACAAACTGGGACAAGCTGCATCGACAATTTTTACCCAAAGTTTAATTTATGTTGTTCGTTTCATTTAATAAGATATAGAATGAATATTGGCCGAAAAATATTCTTGTTGTGGCAATGCAGATAAAAAATACTCTGTCAACCAACTTTTTTAAGCGATCAGTTGATGGCGATTACAACAGCAAAAACAAGAAAATCTGTAGTTTTGATACATTTTTTGCACTTTAACAGCTTTAAGAACATTGCCCTTTATTATAATGTTGTGAATAACGCGCTACAAAACCAGCAATTCTAGAAGCAAATAAAGAGTTATAAGGGAACTTAAATTTCAAAGAACTTTTTATGTTCATTATTCATTCGAAAAATTGTTCCTTCTGTTCACGTATTAATTGCATCCATGCAACAAAAAATCTTACCTCTTTTTTGAAGTTCTAAGTCACAAATCACAATACACGTTGCATCATCTAAGAAAAATATTGTACATGTATCTGTTCAGTGTTTTGACTTTTCGTCGGACTTAATTCACTTTACTAAAATCCAAACTATTTGTGAAACAAGGACATTTTAACGCTTTACCAAAATTTTTGCTATTTTAATATTTTTTACTCGCAAAAAGGTTCAACCTCGTCCTTTAAAAAACATTATTTATATTTATACTACCGATTTGCTTCAGTCACACGGATCAAACATCAAGGGAAACGCCATATAAGTTACCCATTATTTGAATGGAGACGTTTCGTATACCAGCTCCTTCAGCAGTTTAAAAGAACTGCACGCTCAATTGTATGGAACAGAGAGAACAATATCAGGGTAGAAATAACCTCCATATACCCCAAGAAAAAGCAAATTTTAAAATAATTGACCTACAAAATTATTTGAATTGAAAAGAATCTCTGACACGTTTTTAAAGAAATTATTGTTAATTTACTTGGCATTTTCTTTGTTTTGGGATTCTTCATACCAAATACCATTATCATGAACATGTTTGATCTTTGATATAATTGCGTATCTGAAAAAATGCTATTTAATAGGCCTTTGAGGGGTGGTAAGCTATTTTTTATTCAATTATGTTATTTTCATTATCAATTACTCATGAAAAGCATATTGACCAACAAACACTAGTAGACAGAAAAAAGGAAATTTTGACTGAAGATTTTACTTTCTGTTTGCTTATTTTTTGTTATCTGCTCTAAATCAACTTATCCTACTAATATGCAACGATTCTACTGAACCTAATACTTGCATTAACTGCATCTACAACTTCTTTTATTATCTAATATTTATGTCTTGATATCTTAATTTTTAACATTCGTCTTTCTTTCTCTATGGCTAATTTTCCACAAGTTTCAGTTTAAATTAAGTTTTCTTACGTGTAATATTTTTCTAGAAGCCATCTGGTATTATAAGCGCAATTAGTTGTTGAAATGGTTTAGCTCTACGGATCATTAAATCAATTCTATTAATTATTATTGAATGTGACAAAAATGTTACTAATTTCTTAATATGTTTTTTTTAAGAAATGTTTCAGGTCATCATTCTACGGTCAATGCAACGCTGGTCAGAAAACAATGTCATCGTTCGTAGATTTGTGTCGGATGCTGGTCTCGTGGGGGATTGTTTCATTAACTAAACACATTTTCACTATTTTACAACACATTAAAATAATTGATGCAGAAACGGTATAAAATTATTGAACGAATTTTACCACAGTGTTTAGGTACAGTTTATCATCTACTTGAAATTCTAACTATTCGTGACATATTCAATATTCTGGTGGGCTGCTACAATTTATTTATTAAAATTTAATTATTCAATATAATAATGATAATTATTTACTAAACAATAATTTCACTTTTAAAAGATATTCATGAATACGATTGGTAACGACCTTTTATATCAGCAAGGAACTTTCACATTCCTCTTTAGAAGACACTATTTTAAGGGAATATGTCATTTGAATTTTATTATTTATCTTCGAATTGTTAATTCAATCCGAACAATCTTCAATCTCCCTTGCAGCTCCACCAAACTCAAAACTTTGGTCATGATTGTGCTCATATATAACATAAAATATTTCCTTATACCGGCACAAATACCCGGCATTCTTCACTTCAATTTATATTAAATTTCGTCTTTTTGAATAACGAAATATCTTGGTTCTAATGGAGTCAAGAATTGAATGGGAAATTTTCCCCGAAAAAAGGCGTCTTCTATCACATTTACAAAAGATTGACTACAATAATTTGTGATAGAGGACTACATTTGGAATTGACTATTTACCCCCTGGTTTATTGCCAATTTTAATGTAACTGGCTTCTTTTGGCCTTCCATGAAAACTGACAGGCAGCACATTGGGGTTGTTTCTGGACAAGGTTTGGGCGGCGTTCCGGGAGTTTATAGATGGCACAGAGAGCATTGGTTTACTCGCCATAGACCAACTGGGAGAAATGCTCTCGAGTGCCACATCGAAATCAAATAACTCCACTACAACCACCACACCTACAACAACTTCAACTACTACTACTACAACCACTACTGAAGATCCTGTTTTGATCAAGCGCCGGTACAATATACATTAAAGTTCTCATTGGTGTTTATACATGTACATTCATTAGTGCAATTAAGTTTGCTCTTACCCTTGTTGTTGGTGGAACCCCAATCTTGATTGGTTCGTAATTGCCTTGGTTTTTCATGTAAGTGGTTAATGGTTACGCACCAAGCTTCACAAAATCGACGCATTATTATTTAGTACGGCTTATGCACATCCATTTAGATTGTAGACTTTGCACGCAAAACACTCCTATCCAGTTTGATTAATATTTATCTGTCTGACTAAATATCTTGGTTTCAGAGGTTTCCTGTTCTGTAATTACTGGATTTGTATGGGTTTATAGTTATGGTTGAAGCATACATTATTTGTATATAAAAATGGCCGGAATGAATCAATTAAATGACAAAACTGCATACAGGTAAATATTTATCTTGACGAAAAGCGATCAGCACAACGTGTATGTATATATTTGTTGAAAAAAAATTTCGAACCTGGTCGGATCACTGCTGAATATAATAATTTAATTAGTGAAATCCTGAAAATATTAAAAATATTTTTTCTGCTCTTCCGAAACGATGGAATTTAGTCTATTTTATTTTGTTATGAAATATTCAGCTTACGATACGCTTTTGCTAATTATACTTGAACCACAAAATTTGCGACTGTGGTTTACTTTGTAATTCGGATACCACATGAGTGATTCGAATTTCTGCTCAAACACACAACATTGGCGAGCTTCAAATTTAAAGTTTCAAACCGTAAATCTTTGAAGTTCGACGCGACGGAATTACGTTTTTGGCTAACCATTACATTTTGTGAACGTTCTAAACTTGAGCTCTGAGGACCAACATTCAGGAATTTATACGCAGAAATTTCGCAAGCTTATGTTTTCGTATATGCAATGAATGCAGCATACAACATGTTCTTCATTGTTGCAGTTTGCAACGAAAAATATTAACTTTCGCATACCTAATTTAAATTTCAACCGCTCTAGCTCAAACAAAATGCTAATAGACAACTAGGTTATCTGATTCTTAGACCGATATCTCATAATTGAATTTGTAGACCGAATTTATTGTTGGAATCCACATATAAGCTTCACAATGACGCTTCTAATTGGATGATACGTTAAATGATAATGAAATAAAAATATATTGCTAACAAATTCTCATTCATGTAAAAAATATAATACAAACTACCCAATCTATTTTACGAGCGTTGAAGAATTTTTATCTGCAACTACCGTAGTCACCATTTTTTATTATCTTCAAAAGCTATAACAATCGTGAACGTAAAATTTAGCAAAGGGTTCAAATAAAAAGAGATTAAAGCACTGGAAGAAAAAATTAAACTATTAAAAAATTATTTGCATTCTTCATGATTATGGGGAAAGCGATTTGAAGAAATCAGCCAGATTTTCGCACTCAGTTCCGAGATGAACGTACATTTGAATCAGATTCATTTTGAAGAAAATATTGGCACTGAGAAACTATTCAAGTTTGTTTTGCTGGACCTGTTTTTATGCATCTTAATTAAATAATAGTTCATATTGATATATGTATATATATTAAATATAATTTCAAATGTATATTTGATGTGACTAAGTAAACCTCGTATAATTTGAGCTTTAATTTGTAAAATAAGTGTTTTTACCCCTCTTGTTTAAGGCTTTTTAGCGCATTTTCTCATTTAGAGAAAAAAAGCTCTAATGTGCTCGTCATATCCGTCCGTGACGTCCGTCCGTGACTTCACGTCACGGACGGACGAGAAAATGCGCTCTCTGTCACTCACGGCAGTGAGTACTGAGTTATATTTTTTTTTTGTTTATAGGTGTGTTTCTGATTAATATCAGTTATGAAGCTTTATCAAGTCGCCTTATATTCTTCAAATTTATCAGTATTCATTCCAGGAAAAAATTTTTTGATCAATTAGTTGCTGTCGAGTTATCGGCAACCAACCACTGTTATTGATATTATATTCAAAAAAAGTATATGTAATATAATTTTTTGTGTTGTAAATTGTGTATTTTATCAGTTTTTATATTTACATTTAACATTTGCATTTTTGAATTGTAATCTCTGTACATTTCTGAAGGTAAGTGAAAAGTATTTAACCATAATGCACATGTGTAAAAATTGCACACTGAATTTTTCGAAGAATTCACGGTACCGGTAGCAGGAGCGAAAACCGACGCATGCTTTTTAGGCAGCTTATTTTTATTTTTCTGTAGGGGAAATTATTGACATTTTATTGTATTTTCAAGATCATGTTTTGTATGAAATCTATTTGCATCCGCACACAATTATTGCACATTGCATTGATTATAGTTTTTAATTCCTTTGTTTGAATTTCTCGAAGTTCACCAAAAATTAAATATAATTAATGTTGTTATGTAATGATATTATCCATTGAGATTTATAAAGATGTGGCATAAAGCTGAGTGTTAATAAGATCCGGTTTCTCTGAACTAATTCGTGACAAAATGTGAAATAATCTCAATCCATGTAAAAAAAGTCCTCCTCACGCTTGATTATCGTACTTTTTATAAAATTTTCAAATTGTGTCGCCGTTTCTTCCTGCTGTCGAAAAAAAGCTTTTTTCGTAATGTTTTTTGGATACATTTTATGCAGTCCTTGTTTGATACAGCCTCATTTCCCCGGTGCCTGACTCTGAGCTTTAATTACCCATCCTTTTTAAATGTAAGATTTATACTTCTGTTTCATTGAATTGAAACCATAATTTGTGCATATGTTTATAAAATATATTATTTTCATATTATTTATAATATTATAAAATATATTATTTATATTATTTATATTAAATCATATATTATATATATGATTTTTTCCAAGATAGCAGAAACAACACTTTAATTTGCCATTGCGAATTTACAATTTTCAAAAAGCATTAAAACATGAATTTTATTTTTGAGAATTAATCTAAAAGTGTTGTTGCCTAGACAGACAATAAATAATTTTGTAATAACGAGTGTAAATTCTCTGAAATGTAATAGTACTTTCTTTTTTATTTTTAAGAATTATTTTAATTTACTTGTTGAACTAATTCTCATTTAGCGATTAAAACAATTATCTCTTGTCGATCTCAAAATTTCCCTATAACTTAAATTCACACAAAGTTTGTACAAAAAAATTATTCAGCTTACAGCTTATTTCGAGTGACAAAGTGAATTAATAAAATTCCTTGTCCCACAGGTAGCGCTCTAGGAATCTTCCTAGACTCCGTATGGGAGGCGTTCCGTAATTTCCTACGAGCCACTGAGACCGTCGGACTCTTAGCCCTGGACACTAAAAATGACCTCATACTGGGCACCACCACCGAGGCAGGGCAGACTGAAGAAGATGTCACCGAAAAAGCTGTTGTTGATGCCAACCTTAATGGCGACGAGCTCGTCAGGAGACGGCGACGACAGCGACAATAGATTGTTTTTAATGTGATGAAGACAGCTATAGGTTCAGATATTGACGTTGTTGCTCTAGGAATGATGTGAAGTTATTGCTTAATTTTCAGGATTTATTGACATTTGTTTCATTATATCGTTAAAATATACCTTACAGATTTAATTGGTATTGTTAGAAACATTGCATTGAATGTTTTACTTAATGTCTGTCGCCAAAATTTTTCATGTAAATATGTACATCAATATACATATGTTGACCCTATTTATGAACTATAGTATGACTTAGACGATGCACTCATTGGTCATTTAATACCTTTTCCGTATTTATTTTAATAGACTTTCCTTAAGAAGGATCATTTCTGTACATTGAACTTCTTCATATTTCTCTACATGCTTACTTTAATTTGATTGCTGAAAAGAGAGACTTTCGATCGAACGTATAATCGACCGAAATAAGGGAAACCATACGAAATAATAATACTTACGTCTAACCTCAGTATAACCATCGAATGCAACGTTAAGTTCCAACTCATTAAGTGATATATTTCGTAGTGAGATTTAAATCTAAATCTAAATAATCTTTAGATAGCTTATAATCCTCCAACAATTCCTGCTTTGCCATGAACGGATAAAATAAATCGGAAGGATTAACGTTCTTCAATTAGCACGATAACTTGTCAAGGACGCAAGAAATATTAATTGTTTCAGTCACTGGTTCAATTTTGTGTGATAATTGTTAAAAGATACGACGTTATTTGATCAATTTGTAAAAATGTTCTTTATTTGAGTGAAATAGTGAGTAGTACACTGAAATAATTAAATTTTAATTTTATAATCAATTTTACAAAATTTTGGTGAGAAAGAATTGACAGGTCTTAATAAAATTCTAGCTTAACTTTTAATTCAAGAAGTCTGGAAATTACTGAATTGTTGATCCTAATTATTTAGTTTAGATGTATCGAAACCAAATTCTTAAATTTTAATTGAAAATTCATCTAGAAGTTAGTGTGGCCTATAGTTCTTATATAGTTTTCAAACTTATTTGTGGCATGTAAGTCAATTGACTTGAAAATTTAAACTGATATCATTAAGTATTTTTTTAACTTAACGAGCGATGGCTCAGTTTTGTGCGAGTGGGCAATGTTATAAAATATTCGCTGTTGAAACTTTTGAATGTTTGCGTGTAATAAATAAATTATATATTTATAAATTATTTTTTAATGTTGACCCTATTATATACATGAGTCACTATAGAATATAGTGACATATAGTCACTATAGCAGAAGATGCATCGAAGTAATTCAAGAGTAATTTTTATTACTTCTTAATAAAAGAAACGTAAATTTGGATCTCTTTGCGCAAATAAATTAAAAGCTAACTTAGTTCCCTGATACCAATAAAAATTCTCCAGAATAACATAAAGCTATGTATTTTGTGTTTCGGTCACGTATCAGGGATGTCACTGCCTACGAGCAGTACAGCGTCTCGTGGTTGATAGTAGCAATATTTAGAGCAGACGATGGCTGAAAATTTTACTAAAAACAAACTTTAAAATTTAAGAATGAAGACTTCGTTTCAATCACTTGTTATACTCAATAATATTGACATGTTAATTGTAAACGCCTCTCCCTGTCGTACTTACGTACTAGAGCAGGCCTCTACTCCGTATCCTGTCCTTTATTACGATCAATATGTGCAGATTGCGATCAGATATAACTATTCAAGGAGGTGTTGAATAATTCGATAATTTATTGTTAATCGTTAGGGTCCCAACTACTGCTGTGAGTGTCTTATCTTTATGAAACATAGCAATACTTTTATGTCCTGAATATATCGATATAACTTTCCTCGCGCGTGGAATAAACCGAAAAATCTTTTACAGTAACTGGCCAATGTAACACAAATTGTTGACGTAGTCGATTGCGCCAGAGATTGTTTAATAAATAAAAGTGTTTGTTGTAGCTTGTGTCAATTGCTTCGCCTAAAATTAAGATTTTTCTTTTTATTTTCAGCTTCCAAACAATAAAGGAAACTGAGAACTTCTTTCATTTTGTTAATTGCCTTGGCAACAAAGCCCGCTACTTGGACAGCCATGGCAGACCAAGAAAATTAAAGCTAAAATCTGGATGCCCCAGTTTTTTTTTTCAAGGTAGAGTTGCATTTCGAACTAAATACAATTAACCAATTAGTGAAACAAAGTCTGGCTTTCACTGCATTTAGGGTAAGTTTGTTTTTCTCAGAGTGGTTTCGAGACCTCGAAAAATGTTTACTTGGCAAACCTTTCTTGTTTACTGATCGGTTCTTCAGGGGAAACGTTAACCTCAAACGTGTTAACCGCGCACCCTTAATAGGGCTATTAACAATGTTAGAGAACTTGATTTTGCGCGTGAATAGTACGCTTTGTAAATGAATTACAACAGCAGCAATTAATTTAATGAAAAAATGATTTGTACAAAAAATTTAACCCATTTTACTTCATCAGCTTATTTAAAATGCAATTGTGTTTTTTGGCTGATGTGTAAGAAAATAACGCAAATATAACTATTTTGATTGATTTTATTAAGAATCTACTTGAAGTTCTCCGAGCCCTCAAAAGAATCTCAAAGGCGAAGTTCAACTTCAGCGCTGAAATGAAGAATGAACGGTATAACTATAAACAAGCGTCATGAGCTGCTAAGTTTCTTAAGGCAATAATTATTTTCAATATTTCCAATTTGAACGGCAAAAGAAATGAACACGGAAATATCCCATGTCGTAACTCCAAAACTAACTGACATAACAAGAGCTGGTAAATATCAAAATAGGACGAGGAGGCAGGTGACAAACGCAAATTATTCACAAATGCAAATTCATATTACACAATTGCAAGCTGGATTTGAATTTTCAATGATAAGAAGGGTGGCAATGGTTTAGGTCAGTGGTTCCCAAAGTGGGCGATATCGCCCCCCTAGGGGCGATGGAAAGATTTTGGGGGGCGGTAAGGAAGAAAAGGGCGATTGGGGGGCGATAGGGGGGCGGTAGTCCGAAGTCAGAAGTTCCAACGTTTGTTAGACGATTTGTACACAACACGTGCAGCACATCATGACTCCCAGCGATGGTTTTTTCACCCAGATTTGTTTTTTCAACTTCACCTGGTTTTACGTCTCGGACAAATTTACAGTCGGACTCGCGGCCGGTCTCACGTCCAATTACTAAATTCAACGGTCATGGTATATCTCTCAAACTAATGAACTTAACTCGATGAAACTTGGTACACGTATTCATTAGGACCTAACGGTAATGTTTAGCTCGTGAAAATTTTTTGAATTTTGCCTTCATTTGTTTTTGCCATTTTTAAATGGCAATACGGGCCGAAATTCAAAGTGATGAAGGAATTTCTTCCAAACTACTGAACATATTTGAACGAAATTTTGAATTTACAACCCTAACTACCTAACAGTAATGTTTAGCTGGTGCAAATTTTTTCGATTGTGCCTTCGTTCGCGATTTTTTTTTTTTATTTCACCTTCATTCGTGATTTAAACAGCAATACGTGCTTAAATTCGCAGCAAGCAAGAAATTTCTTCCAAACTACTGAACAGATTTGAACGAAACTTAGTATTTAAATACCTAACCTCGGCAACGGTGATGTTTAGCTCCTTACAAGTTTTTTTCAATTTTGCCATCGTTTGCGAGTTATACGGCTATACGTGAACGGCTCTTGGTTAAAACGGCCGGTAGAAAAGCCGGTCGTTTTTCCTATATCTGTATAAATCGCGAACGAAAGCAAAATAAAATAATTGTGACAAGCTAAACATCACCGTTGGGAGGTTAGGTATTTATATACAAAGTTTCGTTGAAATCTGTTCGGTAGGTTAGAAGAAATTTTTTGATCACCACGAATTTAAGCGACAAATTACCCGGCGACACGGGCCGATAAGGAAGTGTGAAATCAAGGATGACAGTGAAATGAAAAAAAAAATCGCAAACGATGGTTAATCAAAAAATGTTTTGAATCTAATAATATGCGTTTAAAAATTGCTTTTTAAAGACAACACTTCTGAACAATCCAGTATCTTGGATGTTACACATGTACAATGAATTTCTAATTTCATTTTCAAATATTGAAAAACAAAATATTCTTCAAATTTTTTTTAAGATATCAAAATTTTGTAAATTTTAAAAATTATTTATTCTGTCAATTGATTCATGCATTGTCTCTGTTTTTATGCAATTGTGCAAAATTTCAGATAAATTGGACAGGTCAATATGTGTCATATATGGATTATAAGATTTTAGGAGACGAAATTATTTTTTTTAATTTTTTTAATATTGAAATTTTTTTTTAATTTATAAAATTATTTATTCTGTCAATTGATTCATGCATTGTCTCCAACTTTACGCAAGTGTGCCAAATTTCAAATCGATTGGACAGGTAGAAGTGTGTTAAATATCGAGTATAAGATTTGTAGCAGACAGACAGACAGACAGACAGACAGACAAACAAGAAGTGAAGTTAAAGAGAAGTGTTGTAAAAATCACCGTTTGGTAGTTAGGAATGTATATTCAAAATTTCGTTCAAATCTGTTCAGTAGTTTGGAAGAAATTTTTTGATCACTAGCTGCGAATTTCGGCCTGTATCGCAATATAACAATCGAATGAAGGTGAAATTAAAATAATTTTCACGTGCTTCACATTACCGTTAGGTTCTGATGAGTACATGTTCCAAGTTTCATTGAGCTGCGTTCATTAGTTTGAGAGATATTACTTGATAATTGAATTTGGAGATTGGTCCTGAGACCGGCCACGAGTCCGGCCATAAATTCGCCCAAGACGTCCTAGGTTTCTAGTGCTGAAACAGTTAAAACAGCTGAAAAACATATTGGTTAACTAAATGGGGTTCTATTTGTGAAATACACAATTGTATTTAACCTTTATTTTTTTAAATTGCAGCGTACCAAATTTCAAGAGAGATGCGTATGTTTTTATACGTGTCTGTGGGGGGCGCTAGAAATTCACTAGGGAGCCAAAGGGGGCGCCAGCCAGAAAAAGTTTGGGAACCACTGGTTTAGGTAGTGGATTCAGCCCTACTAAATCCAGTGTTTCAGTTTCGTAAAGCCGATGTTAATTGCGTAATTGCCCAGCGATAGTTCGAAAGTAACTTCGATGGGAAATGAATTCAAAGTGTGAGTTTTTCTTGAATTGACCATAAATAGACTTTATCATAATTATTATATTATTGTCATTTACATTATAAAAGTAGGTTTCATCGAAGACCAGAGAATTCGTTTTATTGACAATTTTCTTATTCGGCTTGTAATAAACAAGAAATCCCTGCAAAAAACGTGAGTTTTCCAAGAGACCAATGTAGTCTATAAATTTTCTTGCAATAGAGAAGGTTGTAGACTTCTCTTCAATATGGACTACATCAGGCTCACAACTACGACATTAAGCCGACGTCTCACGTGCCACCTTCAGTCTGGTGGACCAAAGAACCACCTGATGGAAGCCCACGAGACCATCACTCGTACGGTGCTGGAAGAATGCACCAGCGTCGTCATGAGATGCCCCGACGCCAACCGACTCATGATAGCTGAGGCCCTCATCATTAAGGATAGGACCCCAGCCATCAACCTTCAAACTACTGGATTTGTCAGAACCTTGAGACTGTTTTCGGAGTAATTTTTGGTGCTTTAATTCTTGATTATCTCAATATTTTTGTGATTTTGCAGTTATTTCTAACAATTTTGATTTATGAGTAGTATTCTATTTACATGATTTTGTACTTATGTCGACCAAAATTTCATCACTCAATGCGCCTTTTAACTTGATAATGAATGATTGATACATTCGAAACGTTGTTAAAAAAATAGAAATGTCTATTTTCGATTTACCAGTGCAAACAAAAAGTATTGTTCGATCTATTAAAAAAACGAATAAGAAAATTGCCAATAAAACGAATTCTCTTGTCTTCAATTAAAACTTTTTTTAAAAGAAGAAATTTTGCCAACCTATACTAATATTATAAAACGTTTGCATGACTTTTTGTGCGCTTGATGCCATGCATCTTTCGTGTCTAGCAATGCGCCCAATGGGCATATGACCGACTTCATTCTATGAACCTTATTTGGTGCCTTATTTTGTGATCTCTACTATATAATTTTGTGTTTTTAAATGATTTGAATAAATATTTGTCCATTTGATTTTCTTTAGTAAAACCCCTCGACACTCAATAAGACGGAAATTAGGAATATTTTGTTCATCTGTATACCATAAACAAACTTAGTTACGAAGCAATGCGAAGTTTCGTACTTAGTTACGAATTAAGTAATGCAGTGGTAATTAACCCAGTAAAGCATCAGTAATTCTGGGATGTAAAATCAACTCACAAGTTCCCAATAATTTTAAATTAGCCGAAAAGTTGTCCAGTGACGCCAAAAACAACACCCAGCCAGGTTACACTGTAACACCAAAAACGACCAGCATGTCACCCATTAACTCCAAAAACCCATAACGCCAAAAAACGACACACAAGTCACCCAGTTACGCCAAAAACAACCCGCATGTCGCCCATCAGTGACGCAAAAAACTACACCCATGTCACCCATTTACTCCAAAAACTACACGCAGGTTGCCTAGTGACGTAAAAAAACGATACACATGTCACCCTGTAACGCCAAAAAAATATAACTCAGTACTCACTGCAGTGAGTGACAGAGAGCGCATTTTCTCATCGACCGAAACGTGAAGTCATGGACAGACAGACGGACGGACAGACGGACATGGCGAGCACAATAGTACATTTTTTCCATAAATGAGAAAATGCGCTAAAAACACGCAGGTTGCCTAGCTAGTGACGCCAAAAACGACACGCAGGTTACCCAGTAACGCAAAAAAACGACCAGAATGTCACCCAGTAACGCCAAAAACCACACACTGGTTGCCTAGTGATGCCAAAAACGATAAACATATCACCCAGTAACGCCAAAAAAAAACAGGCAGGTTGCCTAGTGACGCCAAAAAGAAACGACACGCAGGTTACCCAGTAAAGCAAAAAACGACCAGCATGTCACCCAGCTACTCCAAGACCAACACGCAGGTTGCCTAGTAACGCCAAAAACAACACGCAGATTGCCTAGTGACGCCAAAATAACACGCAATTTGCCTAGTGACGCCAAAAACAACACGCAGGTTGCCTAGTGACGCCAAAAACAACACGCAGGTTGCCTAGTGACGCCAAAAACAACACGCACGTAACGCCAGTCTCCATGGCAAGGCATTACCAGTTACCACCGCTCCTCAGGTCAGTCTGCGTCAGGACGTCTCGCCCTCAACATGTGGCATCGCTCCCGCTCTCTTGAATGCCATAGGCTTGTTATCGGTGACGATTTAACGGTCGGTATATCTGGCCGCTTGTAGTGTGACCATCATTTATGGTGGGACCCGTTCCTCTCAAGTGTGGTGTATGACTGGAAAATATTTACGAATCGAAGAATTCGATGGATACAATTGACAGTTAATTATTTGTTTCGTGAACTCCAATCTAATTGATTCTCAGCAGCCGATAATCTACATAATGAAACTAAATTTCCCTTCGTCGAAATCTCCATCTAACTTCTTAAAGGTTAATTGTTCAAAATTCTTATTCACGGGCAACTATTTTCGTATCCATGTGCTCCAATTAATGTTTGTTTTTTATCATTAGCTGATTTCGGGTCAGAATCTTGTTTCGATATTTAAATAGAGCGATGTTTCGAAGTTAGAACATTTAATTATGCTGCCTATGCATGTACTATATATATATATACTAGCTAGTATTATATTTGTGTTAGATTTTTAGGCTGTACTGCATTTTTAACTCCCTAATTTGTAAAAAATATGAATTAATAAATTGTTGGCGAAATGACCATTCGGCTTATCAGAAAGGCAAGCAAAAGCAGCCGACAGTTCCCAGAAAGAGTCAAAGCTCTTACCTGTTGTTCACAAAATTCCTTTAAAAAACATGAAATGTTGCTCGCACTTGAGCCAAGATTTCCTTTTAAAGGATCACCTTTCCGAGAAAATATTCAGCCTGGAAAGGCGATGATGATGCCTTTTTATAACTAGATTAGTTATGGAACATACGAGTATCTTTCTCTACCTGCAAGGCTTATTCTTGTACAAAATTTACGAGCCAAGATTGGCTCGTTGAATGACTCTGAACTCGATGTTTGTGAAGAAATATGCGAAAAATATAAGCATAACTAAAGAGATGTAATCAACGGCCATTATATTTTTGTTTGTTTATTATAAATATTTACGAAGACACAATCATCTTCTAAAATCCATCATCATGCGTCGAAACTGGCACCTTACTGTACATTCACCTCAAGTTATGTAGGAGTGACTGCAGGACGCTTCAAGCTAGCGCACAAACAGGTTCAAGTCCGGTTGGATAAACGGTTTATGGGGCCTTAGGGTCAAGCTAAGACCTGCTGGGACTTGGTCTTGGTTTGAAGGTGAAGAGGTTTGGCAATACCGTAGATCCTGGCAACGGTTAACCTAGCCTAGAGGCGTGTTCTGTTTATTAGATTAGATAATTATTTATTAAAGGCCTAAATGGAATAGTTTCTTTGCGTAAATCTACATACATTGGGCACCATGAAAATCCCGACTCAACAAAATCAAAGTTGCGTATTGTATCGCGATAACGTGACTCGAGTTACTCGCACTGAATTATGCAATAACTTTAAAATTCCAACTCTAGTTCTGTAAGGCTTGATTTGATTGGAGAGTTTTGTAAATTAAATAAGATGGCCGAATTTGATGGTTTATTACCCAATGAAGCATTTTTAACCAAAGCTACTAATTACGTATTAGGTCAATATAAAGTACTGGTAATTTTTCAAATCTGAAGCGTGATACGAACAACATCGAGAAAAGCCTTATGGCGTTTTGCATCTGTTCTCGAATATTTTGTGCCATGGACTGCACATGTATTGCAATTTTAATAGAAAACTGTAAGTTATTCAATAAATTCATGGCAATGAATTATATGTTATATATCCACGAATATGTTCTAAAAATTTTCTACAGTAGCACAGTAATTCAGACACATGATATATCTTTAGAAATGTTTCAAGCTTTCTTTCTGTCGTCATAACAGTCCATTTTTCTCATCGGATTTAATTGCATTAATTTCCTAATTATGGATAAAGGCTCAAACTGCGGAGATACGATAATTTAAATGAACAAATAACTCCATAATATATGATTACCCATCCAATTAAGGCTAGGATGTCAGTGGCTGCCTTGAAGGGTGATTATGTGCCACGGATTTAATATATAGAAAACTAATTCCTTCTTAACGATTTACTGAAAATAATTATGCCCATAGTAATCATTTTTTCCTTAATTTTAGCTCAAGTTTAGTTTTCCAAAAACTGAAATTAATTTTTTGGTGCACATTTAAGTGAAATTTTTGAGGACTAAATACACATTTCGCTGAACTTCGACTTGACCTGAGTGTCGAGGGAAAAAAATATAGGCGCTACTGAGGGCCCTCCAGGGCTCTTTACTTACATTCTCGAATTTCTGCAATTCTTCCATGATGTTCGGTCGGCTGGCCGCTGCTTCGGTCTTCGTATTATTCATTACCGCGGCGGTGAAGGCAGGTGAGTACAATGTTATTATTTCAGTTCAAGGGTAGTTAATGAGACATTAAAAACATCGATGACTGGCTAATGAGGCATTTAAAATATCGATGACGGCAGGTGAGAACAATAATATTATTTCAGTGCAAGGGTAGTTAATGAGACATTTAAAATGTCGATGACTGGCTAATGAGGCATTAAAAATATCGATGACGGCAGGTGAGTACAATGATGTGTAAACGATATTATTTCAGTTCAAGGGTAGTTAATGAGACATTAAAAATATCGATGACTGGCTAATGAGACATTAAAAATATCGATGACTGGCTAATGAGACATTAAAAATATCGATGACTGGCTAATGAGGCATTAAAAATATTGATGTCGGCAGGTGAGTACAATGATGTGTAAACGATGTTACTTCAGTTCAGGTGTGGTTGATGAGACATTAAAAATGTCGATGCAACGATAGATAGATAAAACTTTAATAAGATAATGTTGTGTAACTGGAAAAATAACATATTTTAACGTGATTTGATGCTGGTTTGGTGTATATATTAATTAAATAACTTTTATTTTAAGATTTATAATGATCAAATTTTTTTTTCTTAATTATAAATGCTAACTATAGGTACTTATGCATGATAACTGGTGAGAATATACACATATATGAATAGGTAACTTATAATAAACCATGGTAACTAATCGCTGAAATATTATGCAGCCATATTTATAAACTAAAAAATAAATAGTAATCATATTCGAAATTCCAGCAACACGATGCTAACGCAATACCCTGCTATCGCGCCTAAAATCAGTCAAGCATCAAAAAACCTCAAATACAGGCGATTTAAAATTCATCATAATGTCAAAAATAAAAGTGAATAAAATTTCACGGAGAAATTAATCATTTTTTGTTTAGCCTTAATTTAAAGCTAAGCAAAAAACTTCTCAACACTCCAGGGATAAGTCTGAAATGAATCAATAGGACGCTGAATGAATAAAATATTTCAGTGTCTACTTATGACCAGTGCTTGAATTATTTCATTGACAAGATGTACGTAAAATGATGAATTACGCAAAAATTTCTAACAATTTTATAGTTTTATTTCTTACGAAATTATCCATCTAAATAGTCCTTACAAATCTAGAGCAACTGCTCTGTACCTTAAGACCTTTAAAGACTTTTTATTTATCACAACCCTCAGAACGATAACAAGTAATTGTATCACAACCCTCAGACCGATAACAAGTAATTGTATCACAACCCTCAGAACGATAACAAGTAATTGTATCACAACCCTCAGAACGATAACAAGTAATTGTATCACAACCCTCAAAACGATAACAAGTAATTGTATCACAACCCTCAGAACGATATGCATCACAACCCTCAGAACGATAACAAGTAATTGCATCACAACCATCAGAACGATAACAACAAATTGTATCACAACCCACAGAACGATAACAAGGTGATTGTATCACAACCCTTAGAACGATAACAAGGTAATTGCATCACAGCCCTCAGAACGATAACAAGGTTATTGTATCACAACCCTCAGAACGATAACAAGGTAATTATATCACAACTCTCAGAACGATAACGAGGTATGTGAACTACCTTCACTCTATTAATGCATGTCGGTCGCGAAGTCTGGTAATAATTGTTCTGGTTCGATAGCGATTCGTGTATGAGGTCCTCATATCTAACTCATTTTTGCCGAGCAGTTATTTGTATTGCAAATCATTTGGTAAGCGAGCGACATTTAAAACGCTTAACATTTGTGCGCAATAACGTGTGCCGCAAGCAATTGAAAATTGCGTACGGATGTGAAAGTTCGCAGTAAAATCGGTTCATAATTTGTGAGTCAATTAAAGTTTTTGCGTGAATGTTGCTTGTTTCAGAAATGTAAATGTGTTGTGCAAATTTGTTCATGTTTTGTGACTGTGAGTATGAATTGTGTGCGTGAAAGTGAAATAGTTGTATGCGCATGAGAAACAGTTTTGTAGACTTGGATGAATCGTACGTTTTGGTTTCATTGAATGTTAGTTAATTTAGTAGCTGGGTAAATATTTATTATGTAAAGTGCATGATTATCCAAAAAAGAACGAGTTTCCATATGAATTTATTTTAGTAATAATATAAATAATAGCGGTTTCAGCGTTATTAGGCCGTAGGCCTGTCGCCGATTCTTAACATCGCAGAACATTCACAGCATTTTGAGGTCTCAAACTCGCAACTCACTGCTACAATTCTGCTGTGCTTAACCGCCCGGCCTCCTCGCCGATTCTGACCAGAAACTGGCGCACAGAGCTGGGATCGAACCCGCGCCTCCCTGCGCCAATCTTGGTACTCTGAACTGTAACTACTGGGCCACTCTGCCCCTTTTGGTATGGACTTTCGAATCATTTAAGCATAACATGACAGTATGAATAGCTTTCATTATATTCGTAACGTCACCGATGAATAAATTCTCGCTACCTCATCCCATTGCAGCCGTGTCAGGGGACGAATATAATTTGTTTCTTTACAGTAAAAATTTCAGACGCGATTTCTTCGGCTAACGTGCAGTGAAAAATTATGATTATTCACTGATTTACTGTGTGCGCTACGTAGATAAACGGTACACAAAAAAAAAATCACAAATGAGTACGGGTGATGAACTCAAAATAAATATGCTCAATATGTTGCGATGTTCAAGCCAATAACAATTTATTTTGAAATTTAATTCGCACGTGAATGACATTTACAATCACTAAACTCGAATAATTGAGAATATTCGTCAAAATGAATATTTTTCAGCGTGTAGTTAACAAATCACAGTTAAAAAAATCAATTTAATAGACAATAAATTTAAATTTAGACAATTTAAAATAGACGATTTAAATTAAATTTAATTAAGTTTAAATTAATTTAAACAGACAATTTAAATTAAATTTAAATTAATTGAAACTAGACAATTTAAATAAATAGACACAATAGACAATTAAATCGATCTTCAGTCTCAATTATTCATTCTGTTGTTGACAAAACAAAGCCATCTTCATCCCTGCATTGGTCAGCCAGACAATTCTAGGTGCCGCTCCAGTGAACCACAGTCAATAAATAGACTTTCCGACGCATCTTTTTTTGGCGAATAAGAATTACACTGAGACTGAAATCAAGACTTAGATTGATACTTATATAGTAACTATTACTGACATTAATAATAAGGCTATTACTGATATTATTGAGTCTATTATTGAGACTTAATTTGCTCACGACAAAAAATATATTTAACAAAGAATTTATTTTTAATTGAATATCGCGTTTATAATCGGCAACAATACAAACTAAATATTAAAATAATTTTAAAATATTTGCGATCAAAATATACACACATGAAAACATAGCAGCTAACTTAAGACCTAACATTCACTGTATTCACATATTCATAAGTGAATACAGGTTCACATATTCATATTTACACAAGGGTGAAAACATCGACGGCAAACGATACTTAACTACATAGCCTAATTTGGTCGAGGTCACGTTATCCTCTTTCTAATACAAAAGACTATGCATAATGTCTTAAAACTCAAACCGTGTCATTATTATTACAAACTTATTTTCAAAGTAAGTTGAATTATAACATTTTTTAATAAAATACTTAAAAAAACTTTTTAAAAAGCCACGTTTTTCTTGTGGACTAAAAAGTAGAAAATAAATTATGGTTCGCCCCAAAAAACGTGGGTCGGGCAGATTTATGATTAAAGCGAAAAGCACACAACACAGTTAAGATGAATAGCATAAATAAGCGATGGTTAGAGTACGGTTAAGATGAATCGCATAAATATGCGACGGTTAGTGTACGGTTAAGATGAATTGCTGAGCTCGTAACCAGTTTTCAATTTCGTGGCTCTAAAATGGAATCTGTCTTTATAAAGAAATGTGTATCGAATTGTAAAAATTATCAAAATTACAATAAACTTATATAGTGAAGTTTTACCAAATTAGAGTAAATATGTGTGAGAACGATGAAGCTCAGACACGACTAATCATTCCCTTGAGCAAATATATTAGAAAATTTTACAGCAAATTTATGCACTTTGAGGAATTTTTTATATTCTTCTCTTATTATTTCATTATTTCTGCATCAAATCGTTTGATCAAATAAATGAAAAAACCTTTTAACGTTTGCATCATAGATACGACATAGCAATTTGCTATAAATTTTGAATTCTGTTTATTGTTTCCTTTATTTGGATGTATGTTCATCAACAAAATCATTTCATCTTACCAAAGATATCTCGAACCAGAGAGCCCATGCTTGCTTTTGGCTCCATGACGTCACGAACCAGAGACCGAGTGCTTAATTGAACCACCAACACGTATGAACCGAGTTCGCATTCGTACATACATCTTAAGATGTTAGGAACCATTGAGGTAATCTCATATATTGGAAGAGCCAACAACATATCACGCCTAACCGAGAGGCGACAGACGGCCATCGACGATTCATCTATATAGGCGGGGTGACCTGCCTAGCAACGACTCGGAGACGGAGGACGACGAAGGCGGCGCATCAGCGTGACCTGGGACTAGGAAGTCCCAAACTCATCATAAGGTTATAAAGTTACAGAATGCTGATAAATATCGTCATGGTAACTTTCATAATTATAAGCTCTACGTTTTTTCACCTATAATTTACGTCAAACATATGCTAAATAGCATTGTTCTAAATTAACTAATTTATGTTCGACCGCCGAGGATGATTAACCACCGAGTTAAATGACCGTCGGTTCGCAGCCGATCGTTCGGCGATGATTGCCAGCGTTTGAAGTTCAAGGCCAGCGGCTGCTGCTGACCGCTTCCGACGCGCCGCGGTCCATAAAAATACGATGTAACGAATCTTCCAGCCGCCGTCGCGTCAAATTTACAACGATTTACCTGCCTTTACCTACCGCCTTTTGTTCAGGCAGTTACTATGTACTGAATTGTTATATATTATCCGACATCGGTTGAATTAAATTATCAA